AATAATATAGAGAAATTACCACCATATCAAGGCAAAGAGATTTGTTTCAAACATATTTGAGAACTGAGAAACTTTGTTCATATCATTTCCCAGTACAACCAATTTCCAGTGAGTTTTTAGATTTGTACACCATAAAGAAACCAAATGGCCTGGTTTTTGCAGGGAAACAAATCATAGTCAATCTCGTTTGGACAGAAATGATGGAATACTTGAAATTAGCATTCCAATATTTTCACTCCATGGAAATACTCCAGTCCATCCTGAAAGAATACCCAAATTATATATAGATGAATACTTGTTCTACTCTAGTTAATATGGCAAGTAAACCTCTTGGCATTTATTTTATTTTAATCAATATTTTTCAAAAAGAAACTACACTTTAGTGCTTTTGTCATGTTCACAATCAGGATTGCTGTGATATGCAGTAGAATTGGAACTGCTCTATCCACCAGAAGATGGAGATGAATGTTTTTGTCAGCATTTGCACAATTGTGTGGATACAGTATATGCATTGAAGAAGGACTACAATACAATCATTTGTCACTCCTCTCAGGGTAACATAATATAAGATGTTCATGAAATAAACAGGAATGAGGGATAGCATAGAACCAACCAAAATATTTTGGCAGAGCAAATAGATCACTTTTCTGAATGTTATTATAGCAACCAGTGGATTTTCTGAGACATAAGTAGTTTTGAGACATGGAAAGATTTCTTTCTTCCCATGACATTGTGTGTAGAAAAAAATAAATCTTTAAAATCTGCATTTTAAGAAAGCTTTTTGTAGCACAAATAGAGATTTTCCTTGAGATGCAAGTAAATGGAAAAGGGGTGGGTTTTTCTGTTAGACTTGCAATAGAGAGTGGGAAAATACTTTCATTTTCCAAAACTTACAATGTCTGACTATAGTCCTCTAGCTTTGCAACAAAAAGCATGAGAAATAATCATTATATTCCTATCATGGCTGTCGTATCATTTGTCTTTCGCAGCACAGGAAGCTAGATATTGTGACCCTGAAAAACTAATTCCATAGTTAGGAATTAGTATAGAAATCAGCTTTACTTAGTTATAAATTACAAAAATATGTTCCAGATACATTCAAATGGCTTTCACTTTTTGATTTTGCTTTGAGATTAATTACTAAACCAGCAGCCCTCAACCTTTTGGGCACCAGGGACTGGTTCTGTGGAGAAAGTTTTTTCCGCGGGACTGGAGGAGGCGTAGTGTGTGCAGCCTGCACCCCGCAGATTGAGTTTCGCTTGTTTGCACGGCCTAGTTGCTGGTATGCCACAGACCAGTGCAGACCTGTTGTTGGGGATACCTATATTACTACCAATAATATGTTACTATGATGCTCTTTTTAAGCATCTCTTTATAAACTCATCAGTCTGTCTAATTTTATTCCACGTCTATGCAACTATTGATTTTTCCTGTGCACCGCTTGGAGAGTCCAAGCGACGGGTGAAATCAGTCTGCTTGCCCTGGGACTGAGGAATCTTTTTCCTTGGCCACGCCTTCTGGTGTTACTTGGCGCCAGAATTTTTCCTCAGTCTGCCCATTCAGGACTTGTATTTGTGAGCTCCAGCATAATTTAACTAGGCTTGGACTCTCCTNAAAGAAAGAAAGAAAAAGAAAGAAAGAAAGAAAGAAAGAAAGAAAGAAAGAAAGAAAGAAAGAAAGAAAGAAAGAAAGAAAGAAAGAAAGAAAGACCAAATGTACAAGTACAGATTAGGTGAAACCTGATTCAATAGCAGTAACTTTGAGACAGATCTTGGACTCTTAGTGGACAATCACTTAAATATGAGTTGGTAATATAGATCAGCAGGCAAAAAAGCCAATACAAACCTAGGCTGCATTAACACAGGGATAGAATCAAGATCACATGAAGGATTAGTACTGCTTTATAAAGCCTTAGTAAGGTCACCCTTAGAATACTGCATCCAGGTGACTGGACCGCTACTTGTCTAGAATGGTATAGACTAGAGTTTCCTATTTGAGCAGGGAGGATGGACTACAAGACCTCTAAGGTCCCTTTCAACTGTTATTCTGTAGGCCTAACACCAGCATTTGGTGTCACATTTTAGCTAACTGGATTAATTTGAGAAGCTCAAAGAGAAGCTTGAATGAGAAGTCAACAGTTCCTTCCATTGTTGGTTCTGAAGCAATCAGCATTTATGGCATGCTGCCGATCATTCAGGAAGTAGTAAACAGGCATCAATATTAGTAGCTATTGAAGCCTGATTCTCCAATACTTTTCTTCAAAAGCATTCAAATTGGCTGCTATTACCACAGCAGCTGGCTGTGAATTCCCTAGTTTAAATGTGTTGCCTGAGAAAGTATTTCCTTATGTGAAATGACCTTGACTTGAAACCCTGTAAAAGCAGGACAACTTTCTATCCCTGTCTTATTTTTATATGCTTCCATAAAAATATTATAAACCATATGAATGTAATATATTTAGTGGGTCATACTGTTCTATTTTTTTTAAAGTATGGGGAGAATATGCTGAAGGGAACATGCATGTCGTTATTGCCTTGGGTTTAAGGTGATTTATGAGTGACTGACTATTCCAGAGATACAGTGAACTCATTGAGTAAGAAGTAATATACTAGGCAATTAAAGAGTTTACTTCAAGTGTAGGGCTGAGATTAGTAATTGGAAAGCACATACACCATAGTCTGACAATGTTGCTTACCTCAGTAGATAAAATTAAACGCTGATGGATTCAAACAAAGTACACCAAATATGGATCCCGTATCTTTCATATTCATACTTACAAAGAATTACTGCAAGAAAAAAATACTCCAAGAATCTGTTTCCATGGTACCAATATAATAAGAAATACCCATGCAAAGACTTGAAGTATTTAATCTAATTTGAGAAACATAAATAATGAGAATCTAATTGGAAGAAAAATGGCTAACAGTTAAGTATATATCCCTAGATTTTAAAGTAGAAACCTATAGTTGTCTAGCCCTTTTCAAGCCTGGTCTTATTCCTGTCTATTCTACTTCTTCTGTCAGATTTCATAGCTACTTACCTTTCTACTTCAATTTTGCTATCCACCTAGATTTGTCTACTTTTCATATTTACTTTCCATTTATCATTCTTTCTTATAGCTATTCTCCTATAAGCTTGTTCAATTTGAGCCAATTTGCCAAGCATCATAAGCTACAAATATTTGGTTAAGAATTATTGCCCAGTCCATCAACAAATTGTCAGGATAACCACCTGCATGGTAAAGTAGACAACCATTATCCCATTGCACCATCATTTCAAGAGATATTCCCTTACTTAAAACACAGAAACAGAGTGACCAAAGTGGGGCAAAATGGCAGTGGGAGTTAGAGCAACCTCTGACTTCCTGCCGTCTTCCCCACTGAGTGGGAGTCTGGCAGAGAGATGACAATTCTTTCCTTCCTCCCTTGTGGAAAGCTGGCAATTGGAATTAAAAATCTTCCTCTCTCCCTCCCTTTGTTGCTTCCTTCAATCAAGATCTTCTCTATCAAGATATTCTGACCACAGCAACAGGCAGTAGTATTGAAACAACCACAATGTCCACAAACTTCATTCTCACAAGAATTGTGGGTCTAAGATTTTGGACACATTCTTTAAGTTATCCCATTTGAGGTACCTTGGTTCAAATATTGTTGCCTTATAATGCACTATTCTACCCAGTTAAAGTAATGACAACAGAAGTTTTAGAAATATATTCCTTCCCCTCAACAAATACACACACACACACACACACACACACACACACACAACCTAAAGTCTAGGTTGACTAGGTTTGGAACTGGCTGATAAATAGTATTTTTATCAGTGTGTTTAACATTCCATTTAGGATATGGGATGTATTTACCAGAAGAGAAAATAGACAGCATGAATAGTGCCAAAACCAAGAAAGACACAATGAGATTCTTCTAAGAAGTTTCTGCTGCTATTAAATACAGACATGTTCCATAGAGCTATTTAGGTATATTATAGACATTAAGGAGCTGCATTAGGAAAGGTTTATCATGTATTCTCATCATCTCTTAGGCATGAAAGCTGGGTGACATTGGACCAGTCACTCTTTCTCAACCTAGCTTACGTTACATGATTATTTTTGTGAGAAAAAGAAATGGCAGCATTTATGTAGGTATCTCGAGATGCATAAAATAGGATATTATGGTTATTTTTGCTATTATTTTCTTCCAAAATAGACAATCAAAATGGATGGCTGGATGGATGGATGGGGAGAGTGTGTGTGGATTGGAGGGACAACTACTGTAAGAGAAGGAAAAAGATATATAGAGAAAGAAGTGGATGAAGATTAGGGGAGGACAGAAGATGAGCAAAAGAAAGGGTGAAGTTGAGAAGCTTATCAAGCATTACAAAATGTGTTAAGCAACTCGATCAAGTAATCTTCAAAAACATCCGTGTTTTCAGCAAACATGTCTTCAGTCTTCCTTTCTTTTAACAGGATTTTTTTGTTGTCAGAATGTCAAACAACTATTCTCTGCATTTCACAGATTTGTATAAGTGTGTAAAGGATTTCTTCTATGAGTAGATAGGATAATCTGCTCAGCAGCAGTGTTATCCCCATAATTTAGTGAATAGTGTCATTATCTTTATTGCCAAAAATGGAAGCGATAGAAATTAATTACAACTTCCTAACTTAGGCCATTAATTACATAATTTTGAAATGTCAAAATAATCAGGAAATCCTGGATTTATATGGCATACATTCATTCAGCCTTTTTGCAACTTCATTCCACTTACATGGACTGGAAGATTTTGAAAACAAACATATAAATTGAAACCAGTGTTCATCTCAGCCTAAAATATAAATAAATATTATGCACATTACATAGAAGTACAGTTTTATTCAAATAAATGAAATAAGTTATCCCCAAATTTCTAAGGCAATGGGAAGTTGACATTTTTTAATATGAGAAGAGTCAGAAAAAATAAAATGAAATTATTTTGAATGTGAAATACTTATTTTCTCCCAACAGGGAATTGTTGCTGCATCTCGTTCAAAAGGTGAACATAAACAGAAAATATTTCTAACAATCTCCTTTGGAGGAATCAAAATCTTCGATGAGAAGACAGGAGTAAGTGAAATAATGTTAAAACATTTTTTTCTTAGTAGCTTTTGCCCTAAAAGATATTCAAGGAAGACAGTAATACTCCAATTAAATTATACCATAAAATATTCCATAAGTTGTACCTATGGATCAAAGTAATGATTTGAATGTATAAAAATGGAATTTATTGAATGTATTAAGATGGTGATTAACACAGAGACACAAATTTAGCAATTCTACAGTTAATATCAGGACTGAGAATATGCTAACAGTAATTCCAATATATTCAAAATTCCTAGAGATCCATGAAAAATAAAATAAAGCAACAGAACCTACCAGTCCTTCCAAAATGAGTAGTAAAGTAATATATATATGGAGATTCTCAGTCATCCAGGTCATAGTTGTCCCAAAGGTACTTTCTTTGTTTTTGCTTGAAGACGATTTGCTTCTCAACCAAGAAGCTGAATACAACAAGACCAGCATGCATGCGTGTGTGTATATCTATATCTATTGATATCTATCTATCTATCTATCTATCTATCTATCTATCTATCTATCTATCTATCTATCTATCTATCTATNCTCTAAGCCTAACACCATTAGCACCATCATCTTGTTACCAAGATTAAATAAGTTTTAAGAATGAGGACACTGCAAAGCATGCTAGTGTACATGTCCCTAACATCTCAAGGACAGAGACTCGGAGGTAGGTGTGTGTGTGTGGGGTACTCCTCTTGCCACGCTGCTTTTGGACAGCAGCGGAGAGCTGCTGTATTTGCTTTAAAGCGCGGCAGGAGCGGTGGCTGCCGGGTTCCTCTTTTAGTTGGAATTTGTTGTTTTTGCGATTTTCTTGCCCTTCAGAGGGCACAGCCTATCACGGAGGGGTGCACTGCCACTTTAAATTGTGCAGCCGCCATCTTTACCTCCCTTACACTGAAGCGGCGGCCAATTGGGAGGGCCTGAATTCACGTCTTTTCTCCCATTGGTGTTCCCGCTCAGCCATGCTTCTGCAGATAGCTGCAGGGTGGTTAGCTGGCCTTGATCAGGTCTCCGGCTCAACCAGTGTACAGTTGTTTCACAGATTCGGCACCCCAGTGATTGATCTGTTCACCACCCAAGAGAACACGCAGCTCCAACTCTTCTTCTCCTGCTTCCCCTCACCAGGGGCGGAGGGGATGGATGCCCTTCGATGCAGATGGCCTCAGTGTCTACTGTATGCCTTCCCACAGCTTCCGCTTCTACCACAGGTAATCTGCAAGATCATCGCGAAAAGGATGAAGGTCCTCCTTGTAGCTCCCCACTGGCCTCGCAGGTCATGGTACGCCAACCTCATCAGCCTGTTGGTGTCCTCCCCATGGTGGATTCCTCACAAACAGGCCTCCCTCAGCCAGGGGGCCAAGTACACCTGGACTCCCAGTGGCTCCAGCTGGCTGTCTGGCACTTGAGGGGGATCTCCTGAGGAGTGAAGGTCTGTCGGAGGAGGTTGTGTGTACCATCCAGGTGTCCAGATGACCATCAATGACCAGGATATATGACTCCACCTGGTCCACCTTCGCTAAGTGGTGTGACAATTACCATCTCGATCCAGTTACCACGCCTGTTTCCTGCTTACTGGATTTTTTACAAGGAGGCCTAGATAAGGACCTCGCCCCCAACACCCTTTGTCATCAGGTGGCGACACTGTCCACTGTCTGGTCCGGCGATCCAACCCAGACCCTCAGCAAGATCTCGAGGGTTCGATGTTTCCTTAAGGGCATCTCCAACTTATGCCCTCCGGTGGTCCACCGCTATCCCACCTGGCAGTTATCGGTGGTCCTACAGGCTCTTACCTCTCCGCCCTTTGAGCCTCTTTGTATGACATCTCTTCATTACCTCACTTTAAAGAATGCCATTCTTGTTGCAATAACATCTGCGAGATGCATTTCGGAAGTGGCGGCTTTATCGGTCCGGGAGGATCTATGTGTCATCCACCCGGACAGGCTCGCACTGCGTCTGGACCCTGCCTTCATCCCGAAGGTCAACACCTGGTTCCACAGACACAGGAAGTAATCCTGCCTAACTTCTGCCCGTGCCCCAACCACCCGAGGGAATGTGGTTGGCACAAGTTGGACTTCAGACGGGCCCTGCGGATATACATCAGATGTTCTGCGGACTTCCGCAGGTCAGAGGCTCTCTTTGTATCATTCCAACCTGGCTCCTTAGGTAAGAAGGTGACATCTTCCACAGTCAGTAGGTGGCTCAGAGCATGCATTGCAGCTGCATACGAACACCAGTCCAGGGCGGTACCCCGGCACATTACCGCCCACTCCACTAGGAGTGCTGCCACCACCGTGGCCCCAGCCACCCAGGCTACCATTGAAGATATCTGCAGAGTGGCTACTTGGTCCTCACCATCGCGCTTTGTCAGGAACTATAAATTGGACATGTATGCTTCGGCTGAAGCATCGTTCAGCAGGCAGGTTCTACAGGTGGTTGTTTCCACGAATGAATCCAGAGACTGTTCTTCTGTCCGCTCTAGTGACATATAACTTGGGTATGTCCTGTCGCTTTCCAAGCGGTGCACAGGAAATGACCATTGGCTTACCTGAAGGGTCCTTTTCTGTGCACCGCAGGAGAGTCCAACCCACCCTGTTTCTCAGTCCAGGGATTCATGACCGTCGTGTCAACTTGGACTTTCTTTTACTGATTCATCACGATTCCAGCCTTCATGGTTCCAGGCCATCTCAAAATTCTGGCGCCAAGTAACACCAGGAGGCGTGGCCAAAGAAAAAGATTCCTCAGTCCCAGGGCAACCAGATTGATTTAACCCGTCGCTTGGACTCTCCCGCGGTGCACAGAACAGGACCCTTCAGGTAAGCCAATGGTCTTTTCCCACCAAATCCCTTAATATTTTTTTCAGAGCATCATTGTGCTAGCTGCAGCCTCTTCCAAACAGGAAAAACTTCTGATGAACTTATCCATGCTCTTTTCAATGGCCATGCGAGGAGTGCAGAAATCAATATACAAACATTACTACCCCGTGCTATTTTTTAGGCTCTGTGCTTTTTGTCTTGATTTTTCTTGTAAACTTCAAAAGAAACCAGTCAGTTGCTACAAGAGAAGCTTCAAAGTTGTCCCTATGCTCATTTTAAAAGGAAAATGAAGCGATGCTATGGCAGTTCAATGACAGTTCTTTGTAAATTACTATTTGGTGGAATTACTCAAATTTAGCCGCTATAAAGAGAGAGCAAGCATGGAGAAATGTAGGCCAGAAGCTGAATCTAATATTAGACTGTGAGAAATGTTAACGCTTTAGAGGTGCCACCTAATGTTGTTTTAGGAAGGAGATCCTATCAGGTTCAGGTTAAGTGACAGAGAGAGCAAACAGGCAAACTATTAAGACATTTTTTTTGTTTTTTTGCAAAGATAAAAGCCACTCAGAGTTTATGCAAAATAATCTGTTAGTTGATTTCAGCTATATATGTTAATAGCAAAAGAATTATTTCTTAATATCTCTGTTTTGATGAATGCAGCTGTAGTTAGAATTAGTTTCTGTGTTAAATGCAAATTCTTATTTTAATGAAAGAAAATCAGTAAAATATAAGTATTAGCATAAGAGTTTTGCATTTATGTTTACTGTGTTGGAATTGTGTACTATGGTTAAGTACTTGCTTGGTTTCTTCAAGGAAGCTCATAGCATAGAGACTAAGAAGTATCTTCTAGTCAAGTCATAATATTGCCACCAATAAAACAATTTTTTATTCTATATTAACAGGGTCCTAAGGCAAAAACCACAAATAGAGCCAGAACATATGTGAAAACAGCTTTTTCTTAACTATAATTATCTTCACAATGGCTTATTCCCTCTCTTGAATTTTAATAAGGAACTCAATTAAATGTTTATATAAATTAACTATGTAACATGATGCCAAAAATAAACCAGTCTGATGGCTGTGAGAATTAGCTTTCCTAATTAACATTGTATTACTGGATAACCAGAATCATTAAAATTACAAGTAAATAATTCAGTGTCAATTACAAAGAATTATAGGAATAAAATCACTATACTTCCAAAATATGATGCATTATTTGGCCATATAAATTTGAAACATTCTGAACTAAATTGTCAGTGTCAGATGATCTTATCAACCAAATTCATATTCTCAGTATAAATGGCAGATCCCTGCAAGAATCTTGGCTGGGTCCAAAGGTTTTTTTGGTAGGATAGTCCCAAATTATATCACTTACTGTGGCTTTTGAAATTGTTTCCTTGCAGATCTCTTGTTTCCTCTGTGTACCTCCATGGCATGGTGATTTTATTATGTGTTCTAGAAGAAGGTTAGAAGGAACTAGCAGCCTAGAAAGAATCATTTATAGATTAGATGATCTAAGAATTAGAATTCGTTATTGGCCAAGTGTGATTAGACACAGAAGGAATTTGTCTCAGTTGCATAATCTCTCAGTGTACAATAAACCATAAAGATGTTGATTTAATCCAATACCTGTCATAAATCAAAGGTCATCTTTTGTCATTCCAGGAAGGGAATATTAGAAAGATTATAGCAATAGCAATAGCAGTAGACTTATATACCGCTTCATAGGCCTTTCAGGCCTCTCTAAGCGGTTTACAGAGAGTCAGCATATTGCCCCCAACAATCTGGGTCCTCATGCACCAATTATGCACCAATTACATTTGGATTTTAAGAAGAATAAAGATTTGCTGGTGCTTAGCTCAGTCATTTTCAAAACATTCTTTTCTTGCTGAGTTCTTCACCAACAAACTAGTTTTTCCTGTTAAATTTCATTCTTTTCCACCTGTTAAAAGAAATTCAGAGGTTATTGTACTTGCTACAATTCAATACATTTTCAATTATATTTAA